TTCTGCTAGTTGGGGTTTAGTCCATTTCTATATCCTTCCCTTCAAGGCTCGGGGATCCAAGATTATCTTCTGTGTCTGTGTTAATTGGTTTCCCTTTTCTTTGTTGAAGAGGGTCTGTGCAGTCTTTCTGCCTACTCCACCATCTTGCCAGAACTCTTCTGTTTCTCATTTCCATTCCTCCTTCTTTCCTAACTCTTCCTACCTTCTAACCATTGCCTTTGGGCAAATGCTGCCCTTTTGATCTCAGATGGTTGATTATTCTAAAGAGTGTGTATCCTCCCTGGTATTACTGATCACCTTATAGACCTGTCTGTGGTTTGGCTGAAAATTGAGCCACAGGAATGTGTTCAGTTCCAGATGCAAAGGGTGATTAAGGGCTGTATTCTTGAGTATTCTACCAGTCTCTATCTGATCAATAATCCTGGTCTTTTTTATGGTTTTGAATTTTATTCCATATTTTTCTCCCATTCTGTCCAGGACCTTCTAATGTGATCCCTCTCAGAATGGTCACTGCTTTTTCTAGCCTGTTACTGAGGATGGCAGGATGGATGGCCATCCTAAGTAAACTGAGTATTACTCAAGCAAAACAGGTACTTTCTTAAAAGGCCACTAGATGGCACAGCTAAACAAATTTTTTTAAGGCTTGAGTGGCCAGAAACTAATTTTACTACAGGCAAACCGGGAAGATAGAGCAGTTCAGTTCCAGACCACCACAAAAAAACAAGTAACATGAATTTTTCAGTTTCCCAGTACATATAAAAGTTATGCTTACACCAAATGTAGACTATTAAGTGTGCATTATGAAAAACTTTGAAATTGTGAGAATTACCAAAATGTGTCACAGAGACACATACTATTAGAAAAATGATGCTGATAGACATGCTCAATGCAGAGTTGCCATAAATCTTCAATCTGTAAAATTAAAAAATGCAATATCTGCAAAGCACAGTAAAGTCAAATGCAATAAAATGAGACATGAATGTATTGTGTGTTAGGATCAAAACTGGAAAGGTAAAGCATAAAAAATTAAAGAAAAAAGGATTCCTTAAGTTCTTGCTGTGCTACATTGCTATGCAGCCAAAGCAGTTACGGCCCTTGGAGAGATTAGCCAGATCGTGAACAGATGCTTATTCATTTTTCAATGTGTGCAGACAAC